CAGCGTACTCTCAGCGTACTCTCAGTGTACTCTCAGCGTACTCTCAGTGTACTCTCAGCGTACCTTCAGCGTACTCTCAGCGTACTCTCAGCGTACCTTCAGCGTACTCTCAGCGTACTCTCAGCGTACTCTCAGCGTACCTTCAGCGTACTCTCAGCGTACTCTCAGTGTACTCTCAGCGTACTCTCAGCGTACCTTCAGCGTACTCTCAGCGTACTCTCAGTGTACTCTCAGCGTACTCTCAGCGTACTCTCAGCGTACTCTCAGCGTACCTTCAGCGTACTCTCAGCGTACTCTCAGCGTACTCTCAGCGTACCTTCAGCGTACTCTCAGCGTACTCTCAGCGTACTCTCAGCGTACTCTCAGCGTACCTTCAGCGTACTCTCAGCGTACTCTCAGTGTACTCTCAGCGTACTCTCAGCGTACTCTCAGTGTACTCTCAGCGTACTCTCAGCGTACTCTCAGCGTACCTTCAGCGTACTCTCAGCGTACTCTCAGTGTACTCTCAGCGTACTCTCAGCGTACTCTCAGTGTACTCTCAGCGTACTCTCAGCGTACTCTCAGCGTACCTTCAGCGTACTCTCAGCGTACTCTCAGCGTACTCTCAGCGTACCTTCAGCGTACTCTCAGCGTACTCTCAGCGTACTCTCAGCGTACTCTCAGCGTACTCTCAGCGTACTCTCAGCGTACCCTCAGCGTACCCTCCATGTACGTATGGCAGTAATAGTGATTCTGGGTCTCGGTTAGAAGACTTTCCCAAACTTAAATGATAATGATGTAAAGTTCAGCGCTACTATTTGATTTTATTTCCTAACTTTACTAAATACTTTTCTAAAACTCACTGATTGCTTTCTAGAACTTTCTCTAAAGTCGACATGTTTCTGCTTTCTAAGAGACCGACGTTTATTTACCTTAAAAAAAACAAAGAAGTTACTTCTAGAAATAAACAAGTACTTTCCGTTTTCAGTCACCATGTTTTCAAGGATTTATAGATATTGAAACTAGATTATCTCAGATAAAGGTTTAGTTATCCACCAACATTCTGTAGAGTTTTAAAAGTACCACCGTGTATTTAGTGAGAGCAGATCTAATTATCCATCAGCTTTCATCTCAAACCTTTTGATCTGCAGAAGATCTGATGAATTCATTTCATTTATTCATCATAAAGTGAACACCTTTTAGCATAACATCTATAATTATTATCTGCTGCTGAGAAAATCAATAGAAATCCACAAACATCAGGCAGAACATTTCTAACAGCTGGAATAAATCTGATGCATTTTCTAAATTGGAGGCCATCAAAGTAGAGCTACGCTTCCAGAATGTAACCAGCATCTGTACGTCTTAATTATCAGCAGATCTTTAGCTTCCATGAGAAATGACACAAAGCTTTTACCAAACCGCTAATAACACCTGCTGCTCTGATCAGGAAAAAATGATCTTTATGTTTAAAATTAATTACATTTAGTTTAGGAAGTTGGAAATAAACGATAAATTCTAAAGTTTCTCTCCCAGATGTTGTTTATGAGGATCACAGACGTTTCTTCTCTATTTTAAATAAAACTCAGAAGTTTACAAAGCAGAAATGATCCGGGATGGAAATCCTTCATCCAACGCCGTGTTTCTATATAGAACTATGAATTCTAGACTTTAAGAGCAACTGTGGAGGTTTCAGTTTACTGTAGTAAAAATATAAAATTAGTTTTTTAAAAATATATTAAAAGAATGGCGATGATGACAAAAGCAAAGCAGTACTACAGGGCACAAGGGCCCCACAACACAAGGGCCCCACAACACATGGGGCCCCACAACACATGGGGCCCACAACACAAGGGCCCCACAACACAAGGGCCCCACAACACATGGGGCCCCACAACACATGGGGCCCACAACACACGGGCCCCACAACACAAGGGCCCCACAACACAAGGGCCCCACAACACATGGGGCCCACAACACACGGGCCCCACAACACACGGGCCCCACAACACACGGGCCCCACAACACACGGGCCCCACAACACAAGGGCCCCACAACACACGGGCCCCACAACACATGGGGCCCACAACACACGGGCCCCACAACACATGGGGCCCACAACACACGGGCCCCACAACACATGGGGCCCACAACACATGGGGCCCACAACACACGGGCCCCACAACACATGGGGCCCACAACACACGGGCCCCACAACACACGGGCCCCACAACACATGGGGCCCACAACACACGGGCCCCACAACACATGGGGCCCACAACACACGGGCCCCACAACACATGGGGCCCACAACACACGGGCCCCACAACACACGGGCCCCACAACACACGGGCCCCACAACACACGGGCCCCACAACACATGGGCCCCACAACACAAGGGCCCCACAACACATGGGGCCCACAACACACGGGCCCCACAACACACGGGCCCCACAACACACGGGCCCCACAACACATGGGGCCCACAACACACGGGCCCCACAACACATGGGCCCCACAACACACGGGCCCCACAACACATGGGGCCCACAACACACGGGCCCCACAACACACGGGCCCCACAACACATGGGGCCCACAACACACGGGCCCCACAACACACGGGCCCCACAACACACGGGCCCCACAACACAAGGGCCCCACAACACATGGGGCCCACAACACACGGGCCCCACAACACACGGGCCCCACAACACACGGGCCCCACAACACATGGGGCCCACAACACACGGGCCCCACAACACATGGGGCCCACAACACACGGGCCCCACAACACACGGGCCCAACAACACAAGGGCCCCACAACACACGGGCCCCACAACACAAGGGCCCCACAACACAAGGGCCCCACAACACATGGGGCCCACAACACACGGGCCCCACAACACAAGGGCCCCACAACACATGGGGCCCACAACACACGGGCCCCACAACACACGGGCCCCACAACACACGGGCCCCACAACACATGGGCCCCACAACACACGGGCCCCACAACACATGGGGCCCACAACACACGGGCCCAACAACACAAGGGCCCCACAACACACGGGCCCCACAACACACGGGCCCCACAACACAAGGGCCCCACAACACACGGGCCCAACAACACAAGGGCCCCACAACACACGGGCCTCCCAACACATGGGGCCCCACAACACAAGGGCCCCACAACACACGGGCCCCACAACACATGGGGCCCATGGAACAGGGGCCCCACAACACAAGGGTCCCACAACACAAGGGCCCCACAACACAAGGGCCCAACAACACACGCGCCCCACAACACACGGGGCCCACGACAGAGGGGCCCCACAACACAAGGGCCCCACAACACAAGGGCCCCACAACACACGGGCCCCACAACACACGGGCCCAACAACACAAGGGCCCCACAACACACGGGCCCCACAACACACGGGCCCAACAACACACGGGCCCCACAACACACGGGCCCCACAACACACGGGCCCCACAACACACGGGCCCCACAACACACGGGCCCCACAACACATGGGGCCCACAACACACGGGCCCCACAACACATGGGGCCCACAACACACGGGCCCCACAACACACGGGCCCAACAACACAAGGGCCCCACAACACACGGGCCTCCCAACACATGGGGCCCCACAACACAAGGGCCCCACAACACACGGGCCCCACAACACATGGGGCCCATGGAACAGGGGCCCCACAACACAAGGGTCCCACAACACAAGGGCCCCACAACACAAGGGCCCAACAACACACGCGCCCCACAACACACGGGGCCCACGACAGAGGGGCCCCACAACACAAGGGCCCCACAACACAAGGGCCCCACAACACACGGGCCCCACAACACACGGGCCCAACAACACAAGGGCCCCACAACACACGGGCCCCACAACACATGGGGCCCCACAACACAAGGGCCCCACAACACACGGGGCCCATGACACACGGGGCCCCACAACACAAGGGCCCCACAACACACGGGCCCCACAACACACGGGGCCCATGACACACGGGGCCAATGACTAATGGGGCCTAACTCTAACCCAGTTGTCATGGTAACAGGAGCTTATCAAAGGCCCTTCACATTAACTGTGTAATAACTGATCCTGAGGGAAGGCCCCGTATGTCAATCAAACGGTTTGGCCATGAAGGGGTTAACGTCCTCATTCTGACTGAATAAAAAGTTATTAAAGATAAAAACATGGATTTACAGTAAAATAAACCCGACTGATTGGGACTGAAATTAACAATAAAAACATTCGTTTAATAAAAAGCTTTTCCTGAAACATTTTGGTTTTTTTGGTTTTCTTTAATCTCCATCAAGTTAGACATTAAATTACAGATAAAACGATCGTAGAAAATCATCATCATCATCATCGTCGTCATTCAGGACAGAAAAACAAACCGTTTCACATCCATTAACCTGAAACCCAGATAGTAGCAACAAATCGCTCCAACTTTCACACAGCGAACCAGCATAAAGCCCAGGTAGCCGCACAGGCCAGCTACCCGGCTAGCAGACCAGATATCAGCCCAGGTAGCCGCCCGGCTAGCAGCACGGCTAGCAGCCCAGATATCAGCCCAGGTAGCCGCCCGGCTATCCGCACAGGTAGCCGCCCGGCTAGCAGCCTGGCTAGCAGCCCGGCTAGCAGCCCAGATATCAGCCGAGGTAGCCGCCCGGCTATCCGCACAGGTAGCCGCCCGGCTAGCAGCACAGGTAGCCGCCCGGCTAGCAGCACGGCTAGCAGCCCAGATATCAGCCCAGGTAGCTGCCCGGCTATCCGCACAGGTAGCCGCCCGGCTAGCAGCATGGCTAGCAGCACGGCTAGCAGCCCAGATATCAGCCCAGGTAGCTGCCCGGCTATCCGCACAGGTAGCCGCCCGGCTAGCAGCATGGCTAGCAGCACGGCTAGCAGCCCAGATATCAGCCCAGGTAGCCGCCCGGCCAGCTGCCCGCAGGCGGGGCTGAATACATAGAGCTTTTAAAGTGGAACTGACCTGATGGCAGTGTGGGTTGGACTCCCTGCTGTACGAGTACGAACTCCTCTCCGATTTACCTAGACGAGGAAAAAAAAGCACAGTTAGCCATTTTCTCACTTTATCTGATGACTGCAGATCTGCAGGAGGAGCTGCAGTTATAATAAAACCAGGAAGTTTATTGATTTCCTGCAAATCTGATGAATTCGCTTCTTCCACACAGAAATATCCACGACTTTTCCCACCTTCTGGTTTCTCTTCCAGAACATGAATGACGTTTAAAGAACAACCTAAATATACAAATAATTACTTTATCATTATCTATACTTATAAATTCATTCAATTTATTTTAAAAATCATATATATTTCAAATAACATTTCATGATCTAATAAATAAACATTATTGGTTTTTAATAATTCATGGAAACATTTGATTATTTAATTGTGCATTTTAAAATTTAATTGTATAATTATTAAGAAAGTATAATCAAATTAATATGAAATTCGTATTTAAATAATGTAGTAAATTAATAAATAAAACCGGCATCATCTTATTTCATGATGTTTATTAATTGAGAGCCTGCTTGGTGTCTCCTTTATGTTTTAATGATCAAAGACCAGTTCAAAGCTTGAATTATGTCCATAACTAACTGGATACTTTTTAATCTTCCAGGTTACTTCCTGGAAATCACTCATTACTTTAAGGAACAGATTAATATTTATCCATCTGTACTTCTTCTTCATTAATCCTAAAGAGAAAAGAAACGTTGCTGCATCTCCTGTTCCGGATGTTGGTGTCTGACCTCCTGTAGAGGTCTGTCTCACAGCGGCTCTGAGGAAGCCTCTGATTCTGCTGAAGGTCCCTTAATGAGGCCTGAAGATGCCGTCCTGACCTACAGCTTAATGTCCAACAGTAACAGGTTTGGTTTCCTTGGAAACGGTATTCTGACCGATGCTAATCAAAACTAGCCTGATGATTTCAGGAGTTTATAACGAACATCCTTTAATCTTATAAGTTCATTCTGTGGAAACTGAAGGGTTAATGTCAGAAATGACTCTTTGAACCTAAAGAGGCATCAGGGAGTTTTCTAATGATGCTGCCACCTGTGGCCAAAACACAGAACTACAGCACAAGTTTCCATGGGTTTCCATCGATCGCTTCCAGTTATTCACCAAATCCGTCTTGAATCCAACGCTTCAGTTGTTTGCATCAAACATGGCCGCTCTGACATCACATCTGCCGAACAGAGCGGGAACTTCTGAGCTGAAGTTGATTCAGGAAAACCGGCTGATAGATGCTGAACCTCTGAGTCGTCAGTCTGACCATTAAACATGTTCCAGTCCTAAAGGATCAAATAAACTGGTTCTAACTGGAAACCTGAGATGACTGGTCAACGTTATAATCTAACTTATAACCAGGTGCTGTTAAAAATGTACAGATTATCTTCTGGAATATGCAGCTTGTTTCACAGAAGTTAGAGATTATTTTCTTCACTTTTAACTAAATGAAAATATAGAGAAGAAGAGAAATAAAATAGTTCCTCATCAGTAGCTTAGAGGAAGGATTGATGTATTTGAGTCAAAGCTGCTCTGATCAGAGGAAAGAAAAAATCCGCCTGGAGAGCAGAAAACAAACACGTTTCAGCTCAAACACTCGGACGCCATATTGAAAGTGTTCAGACATGAAACCCTCTGATGAAGGGAAAACATAGATCTATAAACCCATCCGTTTTATTTAGAATATTAATGCTGGTTTTTCTGAGCCTCACTGGACGAGTGTTTGTCTTTAGAGACTCATTAGTCGGCCTGCTAAGCAACCGTCACTCGTCACAAACCCAATCGGAAAATAGCCAACCCTCCAAGAATACTCGCAGCTGAGACTCTGATTATTTCTCGGATTATTCTCTCTGCTTTTCACCTGAGACTTTAGAGCTGTTGGAATTACAACAGCGACGGAACACGGAGAGGAAAAACCTGCAGCGCTGCTGCTGGTTTAGGAGTTTAATAATTTCCATCCATTCATTGTTTCCAAACAGGTTTCTACATTTTAATAAACTGTTTCAGAGGAGTGATCATAGCGCTCTGCATCAGCAGCGCAGCGTCTGACTCCCTGCCAGCTCCCAGATCAGCTTCTCTCATTGGTTGATGCGGCGCGTCCAGCAGCTAAAGTTAAATGTTTCCAACTCCAGCAGCTGCTGCTTGTGAATTTTAGAAAATTTGAGCAAAGTTTCTGGGGGGAAATGATGGCGTCCCAAAGCCGTACATCCTAAAAACAGGGCGGACGATTTCTAATATTTTTAGTAACGGGTGAACAACAAACGCTTGTACGCATTGCTAGCTAAAAGCATGCTTTGTAGCATTTTGCACTTCAACAGATGCTACTCATTGATCCCTTTTTGTACCTCACTATATATTAAATATACACTCATCGGCCACTTTATTAGGTACACCTGTCCAACTGCTCGTTAACACATTTAGGCATGTAGACATGGTCAAGACAATCTCCTGCAGTTCAAAGCGAGCATCAGTATGGGGAAGAAAGGTGATTTGAGTGACTTTGAACGTGGCATGATTGTTGGTGCCAGAAGGGCTGGTCTGAGTATTTCAGAAACTGCTGATCTACTGGGATTTTCACGCACAACCATCTCTAGGGTTTACAGAGAATGGTCCGAAAAAGAAAAAACATCCAGTGAGCGGCAGTTCTGTGGGCGGAAATGCCTTGTTGATGCCAGAGGTCAGAGGAGAATGGCCAGACTGGTTGGAGCTGATAGAAGGGCAACAGTGACTCAAATAACCACCCGTTACAACCAAGGTGGGCAGAAGAGCATCTCTGAACGCACAGTACGTGGAACTTTGAGGCAGATGGGCTACAGCAGCAGAAGACCACACCGGGTGCCACTCCTTTCAGCTAAGAACAGGAAACTGAGGCCACAATTTGCACAAGCTCATGGAAATTGGACAATAGAAGATTGGAAAAACGTTGCCTGGTCTGATGAGTCTCGATTTCTGCTGCGACATTCGGATGGTAGGGTCAGAATTTGGCGTCTACAACATGAAAGCATGGATCCATCCTGCCTTGTATCAACGGTTCAGGCTGGTGGTGGTGGTGTCATGGTGTGGGGAATATTTTCTTGGCACTCTTTGGGCCCCTTGGTACCAATTGAGCATCGTTGCAACGCCACAGCCTACCTGAGTATTGTTGCTGACCATGTCCATCCCTTTATGACCACAATGTACCCAACTTCTGATGGCTACTTTCAGCAGGATAATGCGCCATGTCATAAAGCTGGAATCATCTCAGACTGGTTTCTTGAACATGACAATGAGTTCACTGTACTCAAATGGCCTCCACAGTCACCAGATCTCAATCCAATAGAGCATCTTTGGGATGTGGTGGAACGGGAGATTCGCATCATGGATGTGCAGCCGACAAATCTGCGGCAACTGTGTGATGCCATCATGTCAATATGGACCAAACTCCCTGAGGAATGCTTCCAGCACCTTGTTGAATCTATGCCACCAAGAATTGAGGCAGTTCTGAAGGCAAAAGGGGGTCCAACCCGTTACTAGCATGGGGTACCTAATAAAGTGGCCGCTGAGTGTATGCAAATACTGTGTATTAATACTTTTTTTACTTTTTATTTAAAAAAAACTCATTCAGCTACAAAATAATCCTCTTTAATTCATCCAACATTGTACTATAAATAAAAGTAAAGCAGATTCTTATCTACACCTTAGTAATTTATTGATCTGCTGTTCTATATTCTATATCTATGCTCTCAGGGCCGCCTCGGTACGATCCTGAAAGGGACGAACCCCAAACATCAGACGCCCAGAGGCTTTAGACGGAGGATTGATGAGCTGATACTTCTGAAACGCGTCTCCAGCTTCCCCTCCTCTGAGCGGCACGCCGCCGCCATCACTATTTTTACCTTCTTTTTTGGATAAAACACCAAAATCTGCAGCCAGTCCAAATATCAAAGCGCAGTTAGCGTGCAATTACGCGGCGCTGTCGGTGCGGATGAAATGGATGAAGCGTGTTGCAGGGCTGGAATCAGGCGAGTATAGACCGCCATTGAACGCTCGCCAACATGGTAGTCGATGCAGAAGAGGTTAATAATTACAGGCGTATAGAGCAGGAATGTGGTCGCCTGTGTGTGTGCGTGTGTGTGTGTGGGGGGGGGGGGGGGGCGTCAGATTCAGCTCCAACCGATGCCAGCTGGACCCGTTTGGCACACATACAAAGACACCCCCACACACACAAAGTACAGGAAATTGCTACCACAGATGTGCTCTCCGTCTCACACATGTAAACATGTAGAATAAGCAACCGTTTATATTTCTACCGAAACCAGAGCAGCAGCCAATCAGCTGCTTAGTTCTATTAAAATAAAACCCAGATATTAGGTTTATGACCTCATCAGGTTAAAACACTGAAACATCCTGAATAAAGAAAACAGGGAAGTGAAAGGTGGTGGTGGGGGGGGGGGTCTGGCAGGAGCTCCATCTTTAAATAAAAACACGTCACTGACAGACAGACAGCGAGCAGCGCTTAATTTCTACCTGCAGTGCACGTTAACCCCCCCCCCACCCCCCCCGGCAGCCATCTTTGGAGGACAATAAAGCCACATTAGCGTGTTAGCATGTCGCTTTTTTTATTTCCTTTTTTCAAAAACGTTTTATTTTATTTTCTGAAGCGATTAAAATCTGCCGTCGCAGATCAGCTTTTTTAAAAGTTATCTTTGCATAGATTTACGTACAGAAGAGCTATATGTGTAAATATTTTATCTCTTTTTATTCTTATTTTTTATCTTTATTATATTGTCTAGTTGGATGTGTGTATATATTATATAAAACTGTAACAAAAGTAATTTCCCTCTGGGATTATTAAAGTATTTCTGATTCTGGCAGAAAAATAAAAATCAACTGAAATCAAGAAGATTATAGATAAACATCAGTTTTCTTTCCCTTCTGAGTTTATTAAGGAAACAACAGAAAAAACAAAATAAAAATGAATTAAACAACAAAAGCAATAAACTAATTTTCCTTTTTTTAACATCTATCCAACCTCCACCTCTGA